TGTCTTATTAAATGCCGATGTTTGAATGAATCATTGAATGGTTGATTATATGTCTGATTAAATGGAATATTGAATGGTTGATTGATAGAGGATTGAATGGACGACTGTGGGTCTGATTGATTTAACGGTTGAAGGGTTGCTTGATTGGATGATAAAATCGTTGTTTGTTTGATTGAATGACTGCTTGATTGTATGATAAAACGTTTGATTGAATGATTTGGAATGGATATTTGAATGGTTTGTCGACTCCATGACTGAATGTAATGGGTGTAACTAGTTGATTGATCAATTGGATGAATGGCTAGTTTGTTGGCTAGACAATCGATCTATTGAGTAGTTGGTGGTGTACACCTTGCATGTTAGTTGTAATTATATTGTGTGTTTCTAAGATGACTAGCATAGTTATTCGTTGGGTCACAAGTGATCTCATACAGCTGTATTTGGTTACGCTACCTTATGCATACCTGTTATTTTAGTCTTGCGTTGATTAAAAGAGGCCGTTCTACTTATATGGCACGAGAATGTGACTAATATTCGTTGGTGTGATCAGTGAATTCGGCGCTTTTGTGACGTTCAATTATTTGTACATTTCTGTGGCTTGTATAGTTAACTTTTTGAACTGAAGAAGGAACGTTTCCGAAATATATTCATTGATTCTAGGCTAATTTTTTGGATTGTTTAAAGATAGTGAGCATAAGGTTATTCTTCTACGATATTCAATAATGCTGCTCATTTTAGTACTTCGCCATCTTATTGAACTTAACATAGGTTAATATGAATCTTACATGTTTTAAATCAAATGTTCCAAAGATTAAATTTGATTTTATAAAGATTAATTCTAATGAAAAAAGGTGTAGTGTATAAGAGGCTAATAAATCGGTAAAAAGTTGGTATTTCCCTCAGTTTCCCAAGTTGGTTTGGTTTCGGTATTTTCCCGTGGTTTTGGTTGGTATTTGTTTTGGTATCGTTAGACCTTTTTTCATTAGAATTAATCTTTATAAAATCCAGTTTAATCTTTGGAACATTTGATTTAAAACACGTAAAGTTCATATTAATCCAAGTAAAATTCATTTTAAACTTTATAACATTAATATTAAAACTTGTAAAGCCCATGTTAAAACGTGTAAAATTCAAATTAAACTTAGTAATAATCAATTTAAACCATTAAGAGTATGTAACGACGGATGAACCTTTAAAGCCACATGTGTGGTTTCTGGGATATATATATATATCGGGTGAAACGTATGCAACGTAAGCCCTAGAAATCCGTTCTTTCAGAAATATAATTGAGCAAAATTTAAAGCTTTCTTCTATCTAAGAGAAACGTCTTGTTTGCATATCTCCCCTCTCCCTCTTTCTGCCCATCTCTCCCTCCCTCTGCCTTTATTTTCGTCTCTCTCATGCTCATCTTTTTTGCTCCCCGGCATGCATGAAAATATATTTTGTAAAACAGAATCAGTGGTGTATTTGATTTTCACACTTACACGTTGAACAATCAACAATGCACTGTAGTTAGGTTAGGTATTTCATAAGAAAATGCTTTGGTTGCATAGCCTGTAGGTGAAAATAGCCGAAACTCAGTTCAAACACAGAGTGCACTCAATGCATCGCTTCACTTGCTCTCCTACTCTCCTACGGGCAGGTCGTCCATGGCCAGGCACCTTGGGAAGTGCCTCTGCACATGGTTGCAGGCCCGCAGACAAGCTCGCGGGGTGACGGCAGCCATGGCGACATCGATCTTCCTTTCCAAAAAGCGCAGACGGTGCTCTGTCTGCGTCAGGTCTGGTGGCGTGTTCAGCATCTCATAGAACGAGGCTGACATCTCCTGTTTGATAGTGGCCTTCACCGATGACCAGATGTGCTCTATTGGGTTGAGCGGAGCACTGTATGGCGCCAGCCTGAGGATTTCAACCCCTGCGAACTCCTCTTCCCCCATCACTTCTTCAAGTGCTGAGTGCGCCGGAGCGTTGTCACATACAACGACGATGTCTTCAGGCTGTTCCTGGCACCGTCTGAGAGCCTCACTTAGCCATTGGCAGCAATCTTCTTTGCGGAACGATCCACGTCTGCGCTCCCAGTAGACGACCCCAGTTTGGGTGATGGCACCTATCACGTGAACGCTGGGTCCTTTTGAGGTTGCCACCTTAACACTGCACCGTGTCCCTCGCTTAGACCGGCCTTGAGACCTCCTGAGGAACAGGTTAGCGTTTGTTTCGTCCATAAACAGAACAGTCTTGCCATTACCCACTGCCTCAGTCACTTTTCGGGTGTAGGCAGCACGCTTTTCCTTGTTCACTTCACTGTTCATGCGTTCTGGCTGTGGCAAGACCTTCTTCACCGTGTACATCTGTCCATGAAGGTGCCGGTGTATCGTCGGTATGGACAGGCTGACTCCAGTGTCAGCTCTGAGCTTTCTGGACATCTCTTTGATGCTTACTTGCGGGTTTTCCTCCACGTATTCCACCAGCTTTGCCACATGAATGGGCTGGACTTTTTGATACGTGGGCCCACCGCGACGTTTTGCAGGGCCTTCCTCTTCAGGTCTGGTGATGTACCCGTAGGCGGTTTTTATAGCAACTCCGTTAGCAGTGGCAGCAACCTTCCAGTCTTCGCCCCTCTCATAACTTTCCACTATCCTTTGACGCGCACCCTCACTTCTCTTTCGGTACGGACCTCGCTTTGTCCCTCTTTTCACGCCCCTCTTCCGTAATCTATCTCCACCTGCTCCTTCCGCTTCATCCGTAACAGTGTCGGCATCCGGAACATTAACTTCAGGCTCCTCAACGTATAGGTCCATATCCATTCGACCATCAAAATGCCGTTTTACTTTTAGCTAATCTGACTGCTTGGAAAACACAGTAAAATACGCATAAACTAATAGTTTCGTTATTGACAAAACAGGTCATGAATATACAAAACCGTTCAATGACCACGGCCCCAATAATGGCATGACGAACGCACGAAACAAAATTATTTTATACGTCTCGTGGCCAAGCTCGCACAGTTGAAGTTGGGCACTCCTTCGTAATCATGTTGAAATCCTAGTTGAGATCCGTCTCACGATTTCCACGAGCAGCCGCATCTGATGCACGTTTGTTTAGAAGCAGAATGTGTCGCAGACTTTTAAAGGAACGTTTCATAGTGCATAAACGGCTGGTTTAATATTAACTTTAACTATCTTAAATTGAATTTTATAAGTTTTAACATGCGTTTTGCAAGTTTTAATCTTAATGTTATAAACTATGTAATACGAGAAGCTTTAGCCTTTGCTCATATTAATGTTCAAATAATGCACAAAATTGGATATATTAAAATAATACTGATATTTCGCCTTGCGGCATCATCATCAGAGCCGCAAGGCGAAATGTCAGTATTATTTTAATACTCGTATATCCAGTTTTGTGCATTATTTGAACATTAATATGAGCAAAGGCTACTACTTCTCGTATTACATAGTATATATAACGATGCTCATCACAGCCATCTATTTCATTTAATGTTATAAAGTTTAAAATGAATTTTACTTGGATTAAAATGAACTTTACGTGTTTTAAATCAAATATTTCAAAGATTAAATTGAATTTTATAAAGAATAAATCATAATATAGATTAATTCTAATGAAAAAGGTGTAGTTGGTATCCATTTCGTTCGTTACTTTTTGACGGCCAAGCATTTTGTAATAAAACAAAAAAGGACACATCGCATCGAGGTGCCCGTGTTCGTATTATCATGCGTTCTACTTTAGAATGATTCGAAAACTGGCGTGAAGTCTTTTGAGGGCCATCGATGAATTTCGCTAAAAATGACAATGTAATGGTTTGGAACATTTACATTTTTAACGATACTGTTGATCATCATGCAAAAATGAAGACTGAACCTCGGACAGAATTGAATGCTCTTTCCAACAGTGCCATTTTTAGTTGCCAGAGATATCAGATCATGGAACAAAACCCGTGTAATTAATAAAGTGTCACAAAATTGATAAACACCATTTTCTCCCGTGATTTGTACCATCTTGATTTGGATCAATCGGCTTTTCACAATTTTTCCATGAGAAGCGGTACATTCCTCTTGCCAATAGGCGTTGTTTCAAGTCGCTCCGTCTGACGGTCACCTGAAAATAATATAAATTCCCGAATCCGTTCAAAACGTCAATTTTCCAAATAAAAGTGCCCTCCCCGGTGCACGTGGCGCGTGCTATCCTCTGTATCGCACACCATTAATTTGCCCATTCAGTTATCCACACGATGCTGTTTTCCTCGTGCCGGTCGGACCCTGGTCACCAAGATATTGCGCCGGGACCGGACCCGTGTCGGCCAAAATTAGCAGTTTTCGCCCGATTTCGCACGCCGGTTTATACACGTAAAGTCTATGACGCGAATTTGCACTTCTTGAGCACGCACCACGCGCTCCCTATCAATCCGATCGAACTGAGACCCCTCAAAGTCACGTCGCGCATCCTTGATCTATAAGTTGTGCAAATTTCACTGGGCTAGGTGCAACGGTCTGGCCTGTAGTCCACGCAAAGCACCACCAAGTCGGGACCTCGACCACAGACAGACGCACCCACCACAAATAGTAAGTTAGATGTTTATGAGAAAGGCTACAGGGCGTGGAAATACAGGACCCCCAGCCGGGCGCGGGTTAATAAAAAGGTACTCAGCCAAACTAGCATATAATGTCCATGACGTAGTATGGAAGTATGGTGGTATATCATCGATAACAATTTTGCGGGGGCAAAAAGATATGTTTGCTTCCCCCACCCCCACCCTGGAAGATGGGGGGTGCCGTGCCCCCGCTGCCCCTCCCCCTCCCCGCTTCCGCCGCCACTAGCCAGACGCTGAAGCTGCCAAAACTCACGTGAGAGCTTCGATAATGAATTTGGAGCCAGAGTCCTTTTGAATAAAAACAGACTTTAGTTTCCTCACTTTCAGATGCGTATGCGTGCGTGCGTGCGTGCGTGCGTGCGTGTGATGGGCTATCACTGCTCTTTCCACAGGCACATTCGTCTGTTTGAGATATTCAGCGTGGAAAAATACCTGGGTCCCATGGTGACCATGGTGGGGAAGATGACGGTGAAGATGCTACACTTCATCGTGCTGCTAGTGATCATCCTGTTCTCGTTTGGGGTGCTGCGCCAGTCAATCCGGTTCCCCAACGAGGAGCCCGACTGGTACCTGCTGCGACACGTCTTCTACCAGCCTTACTTCATGCTGTACGGAGAGGTGTACGCGCCAGAGATCGAGCCCGAGGTGTGCGGCCAGGAGGAAGGCCTCGAGGACTGCCACTTTTGGATCACCGTTTTCGCGATGGCAGCCTACCTACTGGTGGCCAACATACTCATGCTCAATATGATGATCGCCGTTTTCAACAACATATTCGCGAGCATCAACGCGGTGTCGCACGAGGTTTGGATGTTTCAGCGCTACCGGCTGGTGATGGAGTACGAGCTGCGACCCGTCTGCCCGCCGCCATTCATCATCATATCGCACCTGTACATGCTGCTCGTGCTGTTGGTGAACAGGTGCCGGCGCGACTCGGCCAGCTACGACCGCGGCCTCAAGCTGTTCCTCGACGAGGAGGCTCTGGAGAACGTGCACGACTTCGAGGAAGAATGTCTGGAGGCGTATTTCCGCCAGAAGGAGTCCGAGGCGCTGCTGCGCACTGACCGACTGGTGAGCGACCACTCCGGCTGTCTGTGTCTCGTGATATGTGACTCTGTCGCCTGGTGACGTAGCTCTGAGGTCTGATGACGTGACTTTGTGGCCTGGTGATGTGTTGCTCTGAGGTCTGGTGACGTGTTGCTCTGAGGTGTGGTGACGTGTTGCTCTGAGGTCTAGTGACGTAGCTCTGAGGTCTGGTGACGTGTTGCTCTGAGGTCTAGTGACGTAGCTCTGAGGTCTGGTGACGTGTTGCTCTGAGGTGTGGTGACGTGACTGTGTGGCCTGGTGACGTTTTGCTCTGAGGTGTGGTGACGTGTTGCTCTGAGGTCTGGTGACGTAGCTCTGAGGTCTGGTGACGTGTTGCTCTGAGGTGTGGTGACGTGTTGCTCTGAGGTGTGGTGACGTGTTGCTCTGAGGTCTGGTGACGTGTTGCTCTGAGGTCTAGTGACGTAGCTCTGAGGTCTAGTGACGTTGCTCTGAGGTCTGGTGACGTGTTGCTCTGAGGTCTGGTGACGTGTTGCTCTGAGGTGTGGTGACGTGACTGTGTGGCCTGGTGACGTGTTGCTCTGAGGTGTGGTGACGTGTTGCTCTGAGATGTGGTGACGTGTTGCTCTGAGGTCTGGTGACGTGTTGCTCTGAGGTCTAGTGACGTAGCTCTGAGGTCTAGTGACGTTGCTCTGAGGTCTGGTGACGTGTTGCTCTGAGGTCTGGTGACGTGTTGCTCTGAGGTGTGGTGACGTGACTGTGTGACCTGGTGACGTGTTGCTCTGAGGTCTGGTGACGTGTTGCTCTGAGGTCTGGTGACGTGTTGCTCTGAGGTGTGGTGACGTTGCTCTGAGGTCTGGTGACGTGTTGCTCTGAGGTCTGGTGACGTAGCTCTGAGGTCTGGTGACGTGTTGCTCTGAGGTCTGGTGACGTTGCTCTGAGGTCTGGTGACGTGTTGCTCTGAGGTCACGGTTCGTCGGAAGGTCATCTCAGGCTCAAAAGAAACGGTATATACTATTCGAAAGCTGACGGTGAGCTGAATCCAAAAATGAAATTTTTATCAAAATCGATCGATGGCCTTTTTTGAAAATTGCGTTTTCGTAAAACTTTATAATTTTTTATTCATCGGGCTGTCCCGGGCATTCTGGAAAACATTAACATGTTTTTTTTTCGAGTTTCAGTGAAAGCTGAACGCCAAAAGAACGATATTTAGCGAAGCAATATTTCCTAACATTAATATGCGACTCCAAAGTCAGCCACACAGAAGCGTGAAATGACCCTTATCGACTCGCAGACCCGGCGCTCTCGGCCCGCCTGACCAGCCACAGAAAGAACGTTCGGCTCTCGTTCTACTAAATAAATGTCATATTTGTCAGTTTATCTGTCCACATCGCTATTAATGTTATTCAGGATACCTGTGAAGAAAATTCATTGTTCTGCTAGATTTACAACATGCTTTAATTAACATTTTTCTTAAACATGTTTCGTTCCATCCAGCTGCGCTCAGTGCCCGCGCAGGGGAAGTGAGCGGGGTATCACTGTCAGAGGCTGTACTGGTGACAGCTGCTCGGCCGTGCGACCGGTCAAAGGTTACCCTTCCCCACCGGGCGCTAACCCCACTCCACCCGAGCTGAGGCCGGTGCAACCTCTGACATTTCAGCGCGGCCAATTTTCCTTATATGGGCATGATACCAGGCTCAATTGAGCATTGAGCAAAGTAGAGCAAATTGAGCAGAGCTCATGAACAAATGCAAATTAATGCATGATGTGAAGATGACAGAGCGATGAATCTTCTGCTCGTGTATCCTGAATAACTCAAGTGCCGACTTGAATCGTTAAACTAACAAATATGACGCCCGTTTAGTAGAACGACAGCCGAACCTCCTTACCGTGGCCGGTCAGGCGAGCTGAGAGCGCCGGGTCTGCGAGTCGCTAAGTGTCATTTCACGCTTCTGTGTGGCCGACTTTAGTCCATCCTGACACTGAGCTGTGTGATTGCGCCTTATTGTCGGCTGTGGGAGACGCATATTAATGTTAGGAAATATTGCTTCGATAAATATTGTTCTTTTGGCTTTCAGCTTTCACTGGAACTCAAAAATACATGTTTATGTTTTCAAGAATGTCCGGGACAGCCCGTTGAATAAAAAATTATAAAGTTTTTACAAAAACGCAATTTTCAAAAAAGGCCATCGACCGATTTTGATAAAAATTACGTTTTTGGAATCATCACACCGTCAGCTTTCGAATGGTACTATATACAGGGTGATCGAAAAAAAAGTGTCACCCCTAATTTAAAAGCCATATAACTCGCGATTGGTTGGTCGTAGGTACGACTTTGCGCCAGGCAGCATTGGAAAGAGCATACAATTTCCTTTCGAATGGATGTAAATATGCATGGTTTATGCCGCAAACGAAGATGTAGCTATTCAGAAAGTATGCTAAGGACGCAATTTGGCGTGTTCAAAAGCGTGGCCTCCAAAAAGTCCTGACCTAAACCCGATGGACTTTTTCGTATGGCCATCGATTCACTTTTGGCAATCAGTTCTAAAATCTTGGAAAAAGTTGTGTGTGAGGGCTTACTTCGTGCATGTCTGCCCGCTCTTCCAGACTCCCAACATGGGTTTCTTCCAAAACGTTCTTGCGTGACAAATCTGGCATGTTTTATGGATCACTGTTGGGTCTCACTGACAAAGGGCATGCAAACCGATACGATCTACACCGATTACTCTTCCGCTTTTACAAGTGTTAGTCATAGGCTACTTTTACACAAGCTTAGGCACTCTTTTAATATCACCGGTCTTGCATATAGCTGGATTGATTCTTACCTCAGCCACCGCTATCAGCGGGTCATTCTGGATGGCAAGCACTCGGACTGGATCCCAGTGCAATCTGGAGTTCCGGAAGGCAGCATTCTCGGTCCGATTCTCTTCACATGCTATGTAGCTGACCTTCCGTCTCAACTTCAGACCAGCTCACTGTCATATGCTGATGATGTCAAAATTTTCCACAGAATTCAATGTCCAGCGGACGTCAACTCTCTTCAGGCTGATCTAAGCCGTCTTAGTGACTGGTCAAAAACATGGCATCTTAGGCTCAATCCGGCTAAATGCAAGACCATCACCTTTACTTTACGTACATCTCCCATCGCATCATCATACTTTTTAGATGGTCACGAACTCGAGCGGTGTACGGAGATCAGAGATCTGGGTGTGATCCTGGACTCCAGGCTAACATTTGGCGCGCATGTTGACGCCTGTGTGAGCAAGGCCAACCGCATGCTAGGTCTACTTATGCGCAGCATGCAGGTCTCACACCGTACCCGGCTGCCGTACTTCGATCACCGGGCAGTCATGGCGGCGTACAATGCCCATGTCAGATCGGTTGTGGAATACGCGAGTGTCGTCTGGAGTGGCGCAGCACCTACTCACCTTGCGAGATTGGAGAGACTGCAACACCGTTACCTGATGTGGTTAGGCGCCAAGACACATAGCCGGTGCTCGATGGACTATGAGTCTCTCCTCCAACATTTTGACTGTATCTCCATCAAAGCTAGACTTGTTCAGACCGACCTGAAGTTCATACGCTCTGTGTTTGCCGGCCGACTGGACTGTGGGCTACTTGTGACTATGTTTTCGCTGCGTGTTCCTGGCCGGCGCTCTAGGCAGACGGGCTTGTTCAACGTACCTTTTGGACGGGTTGATACGGTGAAGAACGGCCTCGGCGTACGAGTCCCGAAACTAGTGAATGAGTTCCTGAACAAATATCCAGACGAGGATTTCTTTCAGCCTAGTCCCCACTGCACCGCGCGCATCCGTGCCTACGCACGAGGCCTTGGTACTTGTATGACGTAGTCACGTAGGCTGCTATTGTTTGCATTACTTTTATCTTTTGCATTTTTTACAGATCATGTGTCATTTTATTGTTCCTTTTTTGTATCTCAGTGTTTTGGCCTTTTGCCACTTTTATACGAGCTATTGCTGTCTTAAAGTGTCCCGCGGCTTTTTGTCTGTGGTGGGTATAGGCATATGCATGTGCGTAGGCAGGTGTGATGAAATATTGTGTGTCTTGTGTGTGTGCGTGTGTGCGTGTGCGTGTTTATATTTTACTTTGACCTCAGCCGTCATTGGGTTTTGCCTGTGGCTGACAATGCCTAATAAACATTAAACATTAAACGTATGGGGAGAACTGCAGAGGCTCGTTTACCGCGGCGTGAAGATCCGTGATCTAGACCGGCCCCCGCCGAAGTTAGTTGGTAGCACTGCTGCTCCACGGCGTACATTTCCTACCAGCCCATAGGGTTTACATGTTAAATGGCCTGTTTTCGGCAAGCGATATCTCGGTCAACCTTTGAAGAAATCAATGGTTCTTAGTCTCAAATGATAGATCGATGAATTTTCTTTCGACAATTCCTCTACCATTTTTCACGAAACCCAGCCGATCTTCTACGGCGTACAGGGTAAAGATTTCTCTGCACGCCAGCACCCGCGATCCGGCTCTCCGATCGTCGGCGCGCGGTCCTCGGTAGCGCAGTCGATAGCGTATCGGGCTACGGATCCGAGGGTCGTGAGTTCGAATCCTGGGAGCGTCGCGTGATTTCGGCTAGAATTGAATGATGTAGATTCTTGAATGTTTGCATAATCAATTATTAATAACTAATTGAATGTATCTGCCCACTAATCGGCCCCTAAAACCTGTTATTTAAGAAATTTAATAAATGAATGTCACGTGCGCGTCACGACTGCCAACCATAAGCGCTACCATATTCTAGTTTGAACTAAGTTTTTGCTAGTCCCGACCACATATAGTAGGTTTTCTAGTAGTTATACTAGAAATTCCTACCAAAGTTCGTCCTACCCTTCACTCAATATACCCTGATCTAGACCACCTGAGAGAGCGGCTGCAGGTGTGTTGGGCTAAGATCTCCCAGCATCAGGTGAGATAAAGGCAATCGAGGCCTTCCCAAAAGGCCTGGAGGCGTGCATCGCCTGCGGTGGCGGTCGGTTCGAGCACCGAGTCGACTTCGAGTGAAGACGAGTCTAAGGTCAGCCGAGAAACAGTCTGCAGTGAACAACCTACACTCCATGTGTAATGTGTAAGGTGTGTGTCATGTTGAGTTACGATACTCATTGTTCTCGTTCAGCGGTGTCCGATCCCGTTCGGTGAATTTCTTGTCGCGTGAAAGCCGCACATTGACTGGTTTTTGAGCCCATGGGGACATGATTTGGAATAGAAAACAATCATGAATACATTCAATTGAAAAGAAATTGCCTGCTCTTTCCGATGCTGCCTGGCGGTAGTCATCCGACCTACCAGTCGCGAGTTATGTAGATTTTAAGTTAGGGGTGACACTTTTTTTCGATCACCCTGTATATCGTTTCTTTTGAGCCTGAGATGACCTTCCGACGAACCGTGAGGTGTGGTGACGTGTTGCTCTGAGGTGTGGTGACGTGACTGTGTGGCCTGGCGACGTGTTGCTCTGAGGTCTGGTGACGTAGCTCTGAGGTCTGGTGACGTGTTGCTCTGAGGTGTGGTGACGTGTTGCTCTGAGGTCTGGTGACGTGTTGCTCTGAGGTCTGGTGACGTGTTGCTCTGAGGTCTGGTGACGTAGCTCTGAGGTCTAGTGACGTAGCTCTGAGGTCTGGTGACGTGTTGCTCTGAGGTGTGGTGACGTGTTGCTCTGAGGTCTGGTGACGTTGCTCTGAGGTCTAGTGACGTAGCTCTGAGGTCTAGTGACGTAGCTCTGAGGTCTGGTGACGTGTTGCTCTGAGGTGTGGTGACGTGTTGCTCTGAGGTCTGGTGACGTGTTGCTCTGAGGTCTAGTGACGTAGCTCTGAGGTCTAGTGACGTAGCTCTGAGGTCCGGTGACGTGTTGCTCTGAGGTGTGGTGACGTGTTGCTCTGAGGTCTGGTGACGTGTTGCTCTGAGGTCTGGTGACGTTGCTCTGAGGTCTGGTGACGTTGCTCTGAGGTCTGGTGACGTGTTGCTCTGAGGTCTGGTGACGTGTTGCTCTGAGGTCTGGTGACGTGTTGCTCTGAGGTGTGGTGACGTGTTGCTCTGAGGTCTGGTGACGTGTTGCTCTGAGGTCTGGTGACGTGTTGCTCTGAGGTCTGGTGACGTGACTGTGTGGCCTGGCGACGTGCTGCTCTGAGGTCTGGTGACGTAGCTCTGAGGTCTGGCGACGTGTTGCTCTGAGGTCTGGTGACGTAGCTCTGAGGTCTGGCGACGTTGCTCTGAGGTCTAGTGACGTAGCTCTGAGGTCTAGTGACGTAGCTCTGAGGTCTGGTGACGTGTTGCTCTGAGGTGTGGTGACGTGTTGCTCTGAGGTCTGGTGACGTTGCTCTGAGGTCTAGTGACGTAGCTCTGAGGTCTAGTGACGTAGCTCTGAGGTCTGGTGACGTGTTGCTCTGAGGTGTGGTGACGTGTTGCTCTGAGGTCTGGTGACGTGTTGCTCTGAGGTCTGGTGACGTGTTGCTCTGAGGTCTGGTGACGTGTTGCTCTGAGGTCTGGTGACGTGTTGCTCTGAGGTGTGGTGACGTGTTGCTCTGAGGTCTGGTGACGTGTTGCTCTGAGGTCTGGTGACGTGTTGCTCTGAGGTCTGGTGACGTGACTGTGTGGCCTGGCGACGTGCTGCTCTGAGGTCTGGTGACGTAGCTCTGAGGTCTGGCGACGTGTTGCTCTGAGGTCTGGTGACGTAGCTCTGAGGTCTAGTGACGTGTTGCTCTGAGGTGTGGTGACGTGTTGCTCTGAGGTCTGGTGACGTGTTGCTCTGAGGTCTGGTGACGTGTTGCTCTGAGGTCTAGTGACGTAGCTCTGAGGTCTAGTGACGTAGCTCTGAGGTCTAGGGACGTAGCTCTGAGGTCTGGTGACGTGTTGCTCTGAGGTCTGGTGACGTTGCTCTGAGGTCTAGTGACGTAGCTCTGAGGTCTAGTGACGTAGCTCTGAGGTCTGGTGACGTTGCTCTGAGGTCTGGTGACGTGACTGTGTGGCCTTGCGACGTGTTGCTCTGAGGTCTGGTGACGTAGCTCTGAGGTTTGGTGACGTGTTGCTCTGAGGTGTGGTGACGTAGCTCTGAGGTGTAGTGACGTGACTGTGTGGCCTGGTGACGTGTTGCTCTGAGGTGTGGTGACGTGCTGCTCCGAGGTGTGGTGACGTGTTGCTCTGAGGTCTGGTGACGTGTTGCTCTGAGGTCTAGTGACGTAGCTCTGAGGTCTAGTGACGTAGCTCTGAGGTCTGGTGACGTAGCTCTGAGGTCTGGTGACGTAGCTCTGAGGTCTGGTGACGTTGCTCTGAGGTGTGGTGACGTGTTGCTCTGAGGTCTGGTGACGTAGCTCTGAGGTCTGGTGACGTGACTGTGTGGCCTTGCGACGTGTTGCTCTGAGGTCTGGTGACGTAGCTCTGAGGTGTGGTGACGTTTTGCTCTGAGGTCTGGTGACGTGTTGCTCTGTGGTCGCAGGTACAGCAGACCTGGGAGCGCCAGGAGCAGACGTACCAGCGGCTCGAGGATGTACTGCAGCGCGAAGTGGCGCAGCTGGACGCCACCCGGCTGGTTGACTACCGGCTCAAGCGGTTAGAGGAGACCCTGGGTGCCGTGGAACGGCTGGCCACCACCACGCACGCCATGCTCCGTCAGCACACGGGCATTTCAAACATGATGTCGGACGTGCCGCCCGGTAGGCCTCGGTACACTAGCACCGGCAGCGCGGCGGCCGACACTGACAGGGGCGCCGGCGCCGGCGCCGGCCCGGCCAGCCCGCACGACCACACCTCGCACAACGCCATGGTTCAGGAGCTGGTCAGCATCGCGCTGTCGCACGGGCCACGCCGGCGACGCTCCAAGGCCGAGTTTTCGGCGCGCGCCTCCCGCGCGGGCAGCATGAGCAGCCAGGGCAGCCAGGGCAGCGTGCCGGCGGCAGCCGTAAGCGGCTTGGCTGCCGGTCTGACCGAGCCGGACGGCGGCGGCGCCACGCTGCCCTGGCCGCCGCCCGAGATTCACGTGCTGCCGCCGGGCTCTCCGACGCTGGACCTGCCGCTGGGCGAGTACCGCAGCATCACCGACGGCCTCGAGTCGCGCTGTCTGGTGGAGCTGCGCCCTGGGTCGCCGCCAGCGGCCCGCGCCGGCTCTCCCACCGCGCAGCAGGTGCTCACGGCTGCCGAGGACGGCGACTACCAGGTGAGCGTCATCTCATTATTATTAGTTTTTTTTTTAAGGTGTTTGGCTCCAAGTATGTTTTTCAACTAAGCACGCGTTTTAGCCAGCGAAACGGGCAAAAACTGAACTTGAGAAACTCGAACGTCGCCTTGTTTTAACATGTGAATCATTCCCGATAAATTCCATACGTACAGGATCTATTTAAAATCTCCAGAGCCACCACGTGGCGCTACGGTCGGGGTAGGGCGAGTCCAAATCCCGAGGGAAGTGAGGTCATTGTGGGGGAGGAGGGAGGGGGAGTGACGCGGTATCACGGCGCATGGGAAGTGCGTAGCGCCGGGAGTGGGCCGCCCAGGGCCGCCCGCCACTGCGCCGAGGCTGAGGGGAGGGGATGATGGTTGCGGGCGCGTTCACTCCGGTATGGTGGTATCCTGTTCATGTGTAACCAGCAAGAATGCGACTGAAGGGATTTATTATCTCAAACAAACGGGCAAGCGAGAGGCAGCACCAGTTCCAGCCAAAATGTTGAACAATGATAATTGAAATCTAGGACGTATTCATTGCATGCAACTATTCAGTCGATAGTTGCATGATGTCTCAGGCTTTTCTAAACTGTTATTTGAGTTGGATATTTTTCATTTGCCACGTTCAGTTTTGGTGGGTTTTATCGGGTCGAAAAGAATCAGAAAAGAAAAAAGAGTTAAAATGACTCCAGAAAATGACCAAAAAATATTTTCTTAAAAATGAAACTTAGCTTAACATTTATAAGGGATAGTTTTGACCTTTTTTAGAGGACATTGGGGAAAGACCTATTGGGGAAAGATGTCATCGTGCTAGTCTATCTTGCAGTAGAAGGAAAGGTTTTGGTTCGTGTCTAGATAAAACCAGACCCGGGAGTGGGGTTCGAACTTACGACATCGCATTCAGCTCACAGGTTAGGGTAAGGGCGGGTAAGAGTACGCGGGCGATAAGAGTACGCATCAGCTGTTTCGGTTGCTTAGCAACGCGGGTTTGTCGAGTTCATGAAGTGACATGAAGCCGCCAGTGCTTGATTGTCACCAACGGAATGTGGGCGTTGAGCGGCGACGCCGTTGAGTTTAAGGCGATGAATATTATTTTCGAGCGTTATGATATTATTATGGTATGGTACAATAATTTTGATACTTGGCAGTTGAGATAAGGTACATTTCCGTGATTGTTGTGGGAAACTTGTGAGGTTATCTGGGGAAATAATGTGCGTGCAATATTCTGTTTGCGAAGTTTTGCACAACGTTTCGGGATTGTTTTGTGCGCGAATTGCATGTACGGTAAGAGGACGCACTGTTCAGGATGGTAAGAGTACGCAGAATTATACATTAAATCGAATACCTACCCAACCTCAACGCTACGAGCACCTATCGCCCCGCGCAGCTTGCTCAGTGCTTAGGCTAAAGTTCGGCTAATGTGTCTGACGTCTGTAAATGTCACGAGGTGAAACCCCAAGATAAATGTCCGACCCGGTAGCTCGGTCGGTAGAGCGTTGGATTCCGTGTGGTGAGAGCGCACGTCCCGGTTGCAAAAGTCTGGGTTCGAAACGCGACGTGTGCTTGACGTTTTTGAGCCTCCTGACGGGTATGGCTGTGGTTGGTGGCAGGCTGCTGCCAGGCGAAGTCAGTGTGAGGGGACCGGCCGTGCGCGGCTATGTGCGCACGTTAAAATTTGGACGCTAAATTCTGCCATAGACCAGGAATTGCTTGCCCGGAGGGTAGAGGGCAGATTCAACGCAACAAGCTCAGCTTAGCGGGGACTCTGTCCTTGTGATTCCTTTAATTCAAAAGGTTCGGGCCAAATTTTTATTAAAAATGGGGAGCCGAACCAGGTTGGGCCGGGTTGAACCCGGTTGGACCGGTGTCTTACACGCAAATCGCAATCATGGTCAGACAAAACAGAGGCTAATATCGGGTCAATTATTTTTTATCAACTTATATTTTTGTCTTTTTTAGCTTAGGGGAGGTTGGGGTAATTTGGCCGCTTTTTTTTAGAAAACGATGTAACTTTAAATTTTAATATGATTCCCCGTGCGTTCTCGGCTTTTTTTACTGCAATCAAAGTAAAAGATCCAGTGCAGAAAAGACTGCACGCGTCAATAAAATAAATCACGCGTTAATTTTTTCGTTTTACTCTCGACAGGTTTTGCTTCTTGTTGACGAGCGCATTCAAGCTGCTCTTCTAAAAGCCAGTGATTGTTATCTGGTTTTGCTCTACATATCTGTGAATTTCTTTATATTATTTTTCTGATCAGCTAGCTGTATGGATATTGATAATGATGATGGGAGCAGCTCGGAGATGGGAGAAGAAGAGCTGGAAAACATGGTTCGACAAGCTGAACAGAAAGGAACAGCCCGACAAACAAAATGGGCGTTGAAAAATTCGAAGACTGGATGACGAAAAGAAAAGTTGATATCAACATGAGTGAAGTCGAGCCTACAATGCTGTCTGGGATCCTCAAGCGATTTTACGGTGAGGTCCGCGGGATGCAGGGATCAGACCTGTCTCCCAGCACGCTGGTGGGAATGCGGGCCGGGCTCCAGCGGCACCTGTCAGGAATTCGGCCGGACGGCATGGACATAACTAAGGATCCAGCATTTTCTGCAGCAAACAAAGTATTCAAAGCGAAGTGCCGCCTATTTAACATGAAGGGAGGTCCCAAGGTTCAGCACAAAGAGCAAATTGCTGCAGGAGATTTGGAAAAAATAAATGAGTATCTGGGAGGACAAAACATCACGAAGGATCCACGACAGCTGCAGCAAGCTGTATGGTTTACGATAGCGTTCAACATGGGGTGCCGCGGACGGGAGATATATAGACAACTGAAGAGAGAGAGCTTTAAATTCTACACTGATGACATGGGCAAGGAGTACTGCGAGCTGCAGCAGAGTGTGGTGGAAAAAAACCATGAAGGCGGCGCCGATGCGGATAAGCAGTACGACCTCAGCACGAGGATCTATGACACACAGGTGGGGGGAAGGAGCGCACTGTCTTTGCTGCGACTCTACATCTCCAAACTCCATCCCGACTGTGAGTGGATGTTTCAGCAGAGCCGCCCACGACCAGGACAGGATGACCCGACCTGGTACAAGAAGGAGCCCCTCGGGGTGAACACTCTGGGTGATATGATGCCCCGGATCAGCACCAGCGCCGGACTAAGCAAACGGTACACTAACCACTGTGTCCGCTCCACAACTGTTGGAGTCCTGTTCCATGCCGGAGTGCGGGCCCAGAGCATAATGGCTAGGACTGGACACCGCAGTGTCGAAAGTCTGCAGCACTATGTGGGAATGACAACATCTTCTGAACGACGACATGAAGCACGGCTATTAGAGGCGGCCTTGCATGGCGCGACTGCAGGCACGCTGTCTCAGAGCCGGCTTTCAGTCATTCAAGAGGCCGGGCAGGGAGCCGGAGATGGCAATCGTACCATGCAGTGTGAAGAAAGCCTACATATACGAGCAGCTAGTGCACGTCGACAGCTGTTCAGTGGCACGTACACCAACTGCACCTTCCACATCACCATCAGTGACAAGATCTAGAAGCAGATCGGTTCAGTTACCCGTAGTGTAGATGTACCCGGACGTACAGCGACTGCGCCGTTCAGTTACCTTCGTTTAGTATGCCACGTAGCATTTCTCTCCATAGGTTTGTTACTGCAGGTTTAATGCAATACACGATTCTTTGGCAGGCGCAAATGCATGAGTTTTCTTACATCGGTGCCATAAGAAGTTGGATGGAATGGTGACCAATATATACGCTAAATCATACGTTTAATTGACGCGTGAATCAATTTTTGCTCCCCCCAAAAAGCCAAGCCCCTTTTTTCTTTAACTCTCCAAAAAAAAAACCCTTTAATAATCCTGACCGGAGCGCTGAAATACTCAATGCTAAGCACTTGAACGACACGGGGAGTCATACTAAAATATATTTTATTCACGCCTTCCCGTGAGTAAAGGATATTTGATGCACTCATGGGATCATTTAAACACTCGTGTGTAAATTTCACTCGTTTCACTCGTGAAATTTACACACTCGTGTTTAAATGATCCCACTCGTGCATCAAATATCCTTTACTCACGGGAAGGCGTGAATAAAGTATAATTGACGACACATTTCTGCATTTTATCGAGAGTACATGAACCTCCAGGCTCCACGAATCAAACTATTAAAACAGTTACATTACAACATAACGTACAACATTACATTACAACAGTTACATACAAACGCCTTTGATGTAACTGTTTTAATAGTTTGATTCGTGGAGCCTGGAGGCTCATGTACTCTCGATACAATACTTGTCCATTTACAACTACAATTTCTGCATTTTCTTAACGCTGGCATGTGTCGCATTCATTTTACTTTACTTTGAAATGACAGAGTAATTACTTATACTGTAATTGTGACGTAATACAAAGGTCTGCAAGGCGGCCAAATTGCCCCACTAGCAGGGTTATTTGGCTGGGGGTGTGGGGCAATTTGGCCGGTGTTAGTTTGAGGCCGGTATTCATGGTGTGTCAAAAGTGGAAATAGCCAATGCGCCGTCTGGCAACCCGGCAGCCCGCCGCCATAGGGAAATTCATGCTTTTTGTCGCATTTTTGCTCCTTATAAGTCACTTGATCTAATTAGAGTTTGACTAGGAACGAGATGGATCACTTGGACGTATTCGGGAGCCGAATACCTTGTTTTGGAACCAATACCTGGGAACCTCTATCCGCCCAATGCGAGTTTTTAACAGTCTACATGCCCAAATTAACGTTGAGCGCGGCCGTTTTCGGTCCGTTTTCCGCGACCTTTTGGCGAAATCGCCCTATTTATTCAACCAGGGTGGACTAATTCGCTTAATTAGGAATAAGGCGTTGGAGAGAATTATTCAAGGAATTGAGCTGTGCAAATTTTTTTTTTGTATCCGCCCTCGAACGACGATGAATATTGTTAACGCATCAGAAGCACATCCCGTGGAATGTGTAGCGGGGTTTCGCGGCGTTGCGGG